CATATGCCAGGCACGAGGGCTTGCTGCAGAATAAACATGCAGTGCAGCTGTTCGTAGTTACTCCGACATTCAGGTTCCAGTTTCTGTATGTTTCTGCATTCTGACAATCCTTCGGATTCCGTTTGTCCCAGACAGGCATGCGGCGAGGCGTCCTTGCGGCGACAGGTAGGCATAGCCGCACTATCCAACTGCATCTTCTATGGCATGGCGTTGAACTCTGCAAAGCCGCGCAGTCACATTCAGCAGATCGTCAAGGCAGGCTGGGCACAGGCCGCATACGGCACACAAGTTGCTGAGATGCCTCACTCGTGTCAGCATTGCAGTTTGCTTTCTTTTGGAGCACCATTCATGTCGTCAATCCCTGGCCCAGCCCTGAGGTTTTCCTGTCCTTCATCACCATTTCTGCCAGAAGTCTCTCAGCTGTGCGCCACACGCCGCATTATCATCTGCTGCTGTGCCCTGGCTTGAAGTATCGCTCATGCGCGCGTGTGAACACAATAGACAGACAGCCACGTGATCGGTTCTGCCTAGATGTGGACATGGGCGTTTGCATCAATGTATTGCCGGTCTATAAGGCGCGACATCTCAGCCTCCGCACAGTGGCTGCATCGGTCTCTCTTTGCAACGGACTTCGTAGTGCATGCCGAGCCGGGGTGCTCCAGCTGCCTTGGGGTGCTTGTGTTTAGGAAATGTTTCCCTTTGCTTACCGAAAGAATGTAAAGTAGAACACATCGCGACTAGCTCTTGTCTGGTCCAATATTTTAGGGGACAGGGCAGCGTATAGGGACCATCACGACCCAGGTCCAGTGTCAGCTCCTTCGACTGCTGGGGCCTGGCGGATGGCCCCGTGAACCTGTTCTACAGCATCGCCCTTTCGTGGGCCATCCCAGTGCTCTTGCTCTTGCCACTCGCTTACAGGGTGCTGTATCTTCCGTGTGACAGAGCCGCTTTGAGCCCATCTGAGGCTTTCTTGGAGCTGGCTCGGTCTGCGTTCTTGGCGCCTTTGCTTGGTCGTTTGGGGCAATGTCTTCATTCCCCCGCTCATGGGTGCTGCGGCCACGCTGGTGCCGTGTTTCAGCACCCACGAAGGGGGCCGTCGATTCCTGATGTATGAGGCCGCATTCGAAACCCCATGCGCTTCCAAGTTGACCGAATCCATGGTGCTCCCGCGATTTTGGTTGGCAGTGGGGACAACAGTGCTGCTTGCCGTCATCGGCCCCGTCTTGTGGCTGTCGCTTGCCATGTCTATTTCCTCAATGCGGCGAGGCGTCGAAGATGATCGGACAGTCGGCTTCCTGGTGGCAGGCTACGAGCCCGGCTGTCGGTGGTGGGAAGTCACCGTCCTCGTCAGGAAATCTGCCATCTACGTTGTAGCAGCTTGCTTCCCGATGTCTTGGGCCCCCGAAGCACACTTGGTCTACCTTCTGTTAATCACGGTCGTTGCAGAGCTCGTCCATTGTAGCATACGGCCCTATGTCAGCCCACGCCTGAACAGGTTGGAGGGGCAGGTTCTAGGCGTTTCCTGTACAAACTTGGTTCTGGTCATCTCCTTGCTGTCAGAGTGGCCCTACCGACCGTACAGCATCTACGTCGGCACCTGCGTCCTTCTCTTTTTGCTCACAGCGGGCACCTACCTCTTTTTCCTTTGCTTCTACATTCGTGCCGTGTTCACGAGGGACGATTCCCAAAAGGGGAGGAGGTAGAGGACCAGGAGGACATGCAGGAGGCCGAGGATGTGGCACCTTGACGGCATCCAGCATCACGAAAGCGGTCTCGC